ATATATAAAATAAAAATTTTTATATATAAAAATATAAAATAATATAAAAAATAAATATATATATATAAAAAATATATTAATTATTATAAAAATTTATAATATATAAAAATATATTTTTAAATAAAAATATATATATAAAATTTATATATATATATAAAAAAAATATTATTTTTAATTAAATATATATATATTTTTATATATATATATATTATATTATAAATAAATTTTAAATATAATAGTAAATATATTATTATATATATATAAATATAAATATAAAAAAAAAAAATAAAAAAAAAAAAAAAAATATATAGGGAGTCCCCTCAAACTGTCCTAGGGCCCGACCTCAGAGAAAAGAAATTGATTCGGGGAAAAACCCCAAAGGGTTCCCCCTGAAGCTGTTTGAGAATTTTCTCCTACCCCCCCATTTTTCAAGTATGTTTTACAAGACAAAATACTTCCCCAAACTCACAAAAATACAAAGAAAGAAAACAACATAGGAAACTCAGAGCTACATCTCGAATACTTCGTCCCCGTCCCCCGCGGTGGGGCCCCGTGCCCAGAATGCTGCGGCATTTCCTCTCTGGATCGAACACTGAGTCCTGAAAGAGGAATGGTCGCCCCGTGGTCCTGGTTTCTATGATGACTTTTCCCCAGCTCTTTGAGGAAAATTTAAGCACACTTGCCCCCGCTCCAAGGGTCTCCGACCCCATTTGGGAATGAAGTTATAGCAAGGGGGAAGGTCTTATGTTTTCGGATCTTCTGGGTCTCCCTGTGGCTGGCAGCTGCACCCCCTTCCACTACGGAGTATGGCAAGTAGATGTCTGCCAATGTGGCAGCACAGGTGTAGTCCCAGGCAATCTGCTTTCCATTCTTCCAGGGTAGCATAGTGGCTCCATCAGGACGCTTTTGACTTCCATCAGACCTCTGTACTTGGGGTTCCCATTGAGCTGGGCAACGGGCTGTGGCGAGGCTTCTCTTTATGATGTCATTGACCTCCTCATGTCTGCCATGCTTCCCTTCTGTGTGACACACGAGACCATGAAGTCCGAATTGATCAGCTGTCGCCCTGCTGCAAATACACCTATGTTCGGTGAGGATGGGGACGGCTAGGCGAAGAGCAACACCAATCCGCTTGGCCTGTGGGTCGAGACGGGTGCCCAGGGAGGAATTGGGAACAGCTAACAGGGAATCTCCTGAGTGTGGTGCCTTCACTGCCAGGAGACGAGCTTTGTCCTTTCCTGAAGCATTGGAGAGCATTGTATTGGCGATTTTTTCCATGATCGGTTTGTCCCAGTGGGACTGTTTGTGCTGTTTGGGAGGAGCTGATCTACTGGAGGAGTCTGTAAGGGTGTCCCACCGCATCGCTGCTTCAGTAAACCTGGGGTCTTGAGCTCCTACCACGTCTCTCAAGCGTTCGGGTACTATCTTCTTATGTATGTACTATCTTCTTGGCTAATGCACTGGAAGCCAAACACGAAAACAGAAAAGCAGGTAAAGCAACATGCGTTGCTTTACTCACCCCTATACCTCCCAGTCGCACTGGGAGGGTTGCCTGATCCCATTGCTCATCCTCTAGCGACAGGTTCTGTGCCTTCTTAAAAGTTGATCTCAGGTGTGCTTCATATTCATCGAGTATTGGGTTGTCAAAAGAGGGTGCACACCTCAGGAAGTGAGTCTTGGCATAGTAAGGCACCTTGTGAGGAGATACAGAGCATCATGGGCATCAAGATCGCTTATTCTCTCCTCCATTCTCATCAGCTCATTCAATTTGTCCCTGAGGACAGTGTAGATGGCCTGTGACCCAGCGGTGCCCCCAAGAGGGTACTGTTGGACGGAGTGGTAGTTGAGACTTCCGGGAGGATTCTTCGCACAGCATTGATTATTTCCTGGTTCGCTGTGATGATTTCACACTTGGAGGGATTGAGGATGAGTCCCAAGTCTTCTTCCTGTGTTTTCACCAGTTGTAGGTCCCCCACTAGGGGCTCTTCAGTACCTGCCAGAGTGCCGTCATCCAGGTACCAGATATATATATATATATATATATATATATATATATATATATATATATATATATTATATATATATATATATATATATGTCGTGGCGAATAGGCAGAACTTGCGAACTTGGCTTAAATAGCAACGCTCATCTTGCCATATAGGACAAGTGAAAATTTGTCTATGCAATAATTTCGTCAAAATAATTCTGAACCTAACGAAAAAAATATATTTCACTGTGTTTGTTTAGTATTAAATTATTGTAAACAAATCTAAAATATATTTAGTTGGGTTAGGTTAAAATAAATTGCGCTTGTTATAATAAGGTTAGGTAAGTTTTCTAAGTTCCTTTTGGTGCAAAATTATAATTTTTTGCATCAACATTAATGAAAAAAATATATCTCTAAACGTATAAGATAAAATTTTAGAAAGGACTTAATTTTAAATGAGTTCTTGCTAATTGACCAGTTTTACATATTCGGCACGACATACATAATATATATATATATATATATATGCGCGAAACCGATATGGTTAGTACCTTACACGTACGAGACAGCTGAAGCGTGTTTCACTCGCTTCAAAGTGCGTGGGACTCACAAAAGTTCAGGCATATTAGGTTTCATTTTATAGAGGTGCAGCTCAGTGCTAGGAAAACTGACACATGTCTTAGTTGCGTCATGATCCGAGAAAAGTATCTCCGTGTGCAACAAGCCCAGACTCTCTCTACCCGCAGCGGAAAGTAGCATGAATTTCTAATGAAGTTTAATGTCAGTGCTGGAGATCTTAAGCAAAGCAGGAGAGGCTTTCACAAGTTATCGGATTGGAATTAAAAATTTCAGTGTCATCAATAAAAGTGGAAAATTGTCATCTACTCTACCCAAAGCTAATTCGAACCTTTTGCTAAGATACGCCGGCTTGAAGAGTTTTAAGTCAATCGGAAGAGGCATTCTCTAGTTATCGCATATAGACCAATAACACCAGCCCTTTACGTTGACTGCTTAATTTAGCAGCAATGAAGGTTTTAAGCTGACAGGATCAGACATTCACAAATTACCGCATGAAAATCAGCAATATTAATAACAATTACAACTTTCCTTTCAAGCTTAAAGCTGCTTTGAAAAAACTTTCTAAAGCTATCTCCTGGAGGCCACTTTCACACTTTACAAGTACCATGAACCTTTCATAGTTTTAGTTCACCAGCCTAGAAAATTTGAAATCGATCGCATGAGGCATTCTCCAGTTATAAACGAGAACCCTTGAAAGGAAAAAAAATCAGGCAACATTCTGAAGGTGACAAAGTCGAGTCCAGTGGTGCAAATCTTATGATCTGCGTCAAATTACTATTACCAGTTTAATATCATTATATATATAACCTGCCTTGTATGGGCCAGTAGGCCTTCTGCAGTGTTCCTCCATTCTCATGTTCTTACATCTGGCCCTTCACGGATTGTTTCTTCCTAACACTTCAATACTTCTAACAGGACTGGATTTATTTTTCACTCTGGCACATTCTATTTTTTAGGTTATGACTTGCGACGAGGCTGAGACCTGGATGTAATTAATTAAAGACAACATTGCAAGAGTTTAAACGTTACTTCGGTTCAATTTGATCAATTAAAATTGTCCAAAGAGGAAAGTCCAAGAGTCTAACGTATTAATGTTTAAATATCTGCGGCTTTGGCGAGCATTTTCAACCTGCAAGGACCCAATAACATCAACTCGATAGAACAGACGGAAGATCGAGCCTCCACTACGTCTTGCGCTGAATGACCCCACATGAGTTTAGCGCTCAACACGAATGATAATGCAATAATCATCTCCATAGAAAGGACCTCATATTTATGTTATATTAGCACAAATATTCCAGGTGCGTAACAGCTTACGAAGAAACGATTATTTCTGGAGAGGAAGAGCATCAGTATTTAGAGGCAATGATTGGGCGCCGGTGCAGTAAGTCACTCTGGCGCTATTCATCATTGGTCACGACGTGTCCTTTGTAAGCGCTCAAGTTGGCTGTGATTAATCGCCAGCCTCCCACATGCTATCCTTACGTTTCAAAATTATTCGTATTCAGAGTTTAACATCTTAATGCAGTACGCATTATGTTGTTGATGTATCCGGGGGCACATCCATGAAGTGTCTGGTGCCATCCCCGTAACCAAAATACGCTTTTATTTATCGCTGAGTTTTGAAAACTGCAAATCACCAGAAGACGACCTACCCAGGACTTCCTACCATTACCGTCGGTACAGTTGGCGGTAACACACCCAGTGTCACCAGCCGTCATGGGTGAAATATGGAATAGCGAACTCCACACGCACAGTCACCTCCACACTGAATATTGTCGAATCCAGTATTGGTGGAGACTGCAAGAGAGGGGGACAGGAAGACCAGAGGTATGTATAGCCCAAAGAGAAGTGCAGGCCAGAGAGAAGTGCAGATCAAAGGGTTGTACAGGCTATGGAGACGTGTAGGCCAGAAAGATGGGAAGGCCATAGGGAAGGGCATACAATAGAGATATGAAGGACAGAGGAACCAGCAGGGAAGAGGGATGTACAAGCAAAAGGGGCACACAGGCCTCAGGAAACATCCCCTCAACAAGCACTTCATATACTTTGCATAATTAACATCTCGTTGTGATACACAGAACAGCGTTAATTCTAATACAACTTTATACATTTAAAAGAAAAAAAAAACTTTTACATGAATGACTTGAAGGTAGAGGAAGTACTCTTAAAGAGTTGTACTAAATAACTTTATGAAATTATAGTACAACGAGTCCACAAAGACGTTTGTCTACTTCGAAAATTTATTCAAGCATTATGTAGCCTGACATTGACCTCAAGGAGTATGGGTATATGACAGGAACACTGCACTAAAGTAGCCTGATACTGACTTCAAATATGAATGCAAGACAGGAACATTGAACTCAAGTAGCCTGACACTAACCTCAAGCAATATGAGTATAAGAAAACAAAAAACATTGCACTAAACACTGACCTCTAGGAGTGTGGGGAGCGTGGTGTTGTGATACTCCTGCAGCATGCCGTTGGTAGCGTGCAGCTGCTGGACGTAAGCGTTGTGAGCGTCGAAGTAGGCAGCCAGGGAAGCATTGTTCTGCGAGCGACAGTGACTCTGGTACGCCTCACTGTACTCCCGCCGACACTGTGCACGAAATTTGACTTAGTGAAAGCTGCCAACACGTAACAATTAATGTGATAAAATATTCTTTTTAGAATGCTATAATTAATAGAAATGGTTATATATGACACTGGTGTCCCAGAAAACAACAAATACGCAAGAGTACTGGGGTAAGAGAAAGTTATTTATACATTAACAAAACACACTATACAAATAACCTGCACACAAGACCGAGAAAAGCTTACGACGACGCTTCGGTCCGACTTGGACCATTTATAGGCGAGGGGGAAAAGGACGGGACCAAGAGAGGAAGAAAAAGTAGTTGTAGTAGTAGCAAGGCTGGTAGTGGAAGTAGTTGTGGTAGAAGAAAGGCGAGTAGTTTAGTGGCACAAAAGAGGAAGGGGAGTGAAGAGTGGTAGTAGCAATGGTAGTAGCAATAGTAATGGTAGTGGCAATGGTAGTAGCAATAGTGGTAGACGTAGTAGAAGTGGAATATAACTTTATATCTACTAACTGGTAAAAAGAGCAATCTCTAACAACTGTAATTCCATTACAACAGGTGACATTAAAGCGAGTGGGTGGAAATAACAGAACAAGGAAGAATAAAATAATTACAGAGGGGGAAAGTGATAAGTAAAAAAAAATGGATTATAATTATTCTTATAAACAAAATTAATGAAAATGCGATACGTGAAAGCTGAGATAATAATAATAATAATAATAATAATAATAATAATAATAATAATAATAATAATAATAATAATAATAATAACAACAACAACAACAAAAATAAAGGAGATGAAAGATCGGGAGTTAAGAAACAGGATGTAAAGGAATAAAAAAGATAGAAAAATGTAAAAACAAAACAGAGATTTGCCAAGAACATATGTAGATAAAAATAAATAGTACATAAAAAATAAAAAAAAAAGTTTACCAAAGTAACTAATCAAAAGACAGAAATAGAACAGCAAGTGCAGCTAATTACAGGTTCTTAAATAGTTAATGAAAGGCTTATGGCAAAGAATTATATAATAAATATATGTATATTGTACAAGTTCATATATTGGTAGACTATAATTTTCAGAAATGAAAACCTGAAGCACGACAGAAAATTGTTTAAAACTATATAAACAAAAATACCACACACACACACACACACACACACACACACACACAACCTGTCCACCTTATCTATACCACGCAGTATTTTGTATGTCGTTATGTCTCCCCGGACTGGAGGGTCAGGGGAGACATGATAACGACCTACAAAATACTTCGTGGAATAGATAAGGTGGACAGAGATACGTTGTTCCAGGCAGGGGACACAGAAACAAGGGGTCACAATTGGAAGCTGAAGATTCAGACGAGTCAGAGGGATGTTAGGAAGTATTTCTTCAGTCATAAAGTCGTCAGGAAGTGATGTAGTGGAGGCAGGAACCATGCCTAGCTTTAAGACGAGGTATGACAAAGCTCAGGAAGCAGAGAGGGAGAGGACCTAGAAGCTATCAGTGAAAAGGCGGGGCCAGGAGCTGAGTCTCGACCCCTGCAACCACAATTAGGTGAGTACAATTAGTCGAGTACACACACACACACACACACACACACACACACACACACACACACACACACACACACACACACACACACACACATAACTAACACACACACACACACACACACACACACACACACACACACACACACACACACACATAACTAACACACACACACACACACACACACACACCACACACACAACACACACACACACGACTCTATAAACTGAGGTAACGCTACATTATAGGGCAACAGTTCAGTGTTGCAGCAATACCAGGGGAGGGTAAACAAACCAGGGGGAGGTAAACAAACCAGGGGAAGGTAAACAAACCAGGGGAAGGTAAACAAAACTGATCTTAGCAACAATCCTCTTAATGCATAAAACTAACCCAAGTTCATAAATAATTTAGCAAGCGCTAGACAATGCTTGCGTGTTCGCATCAGGCTTTAACAGCCGGGATGAAGAAACTTGTATATCAATAACGAGTAACTCTTTCGAACTGGTTTAATACAGGCATATATATGAGCCTTTGCCAGTAAAGACAACTGTGTAGTGTCGGCTCAAGGACGACTACCTAACGCGTCTCGAGTCGTTAAAAACGACATCATAGGGAAGAACGACAAGTTATCAAGTTTTGAGTAAAATCGAAAACGACGCCACGGGGAAGGATTATTTTATCTAAGAAAGAGAGAGAGAGAGAGAGAGAGAGAGAGAGAGAGAGAGAGAGAGAGAGAGAGAGAGAGAGAGAGAGAGAGAGAGAGAGAGAGAGAGAGAGAGAGAGAGAGAGAGAGAGAGAGAGACTCAAACAGAAATCCTTTATTTTCAGTTATAAAAACATTTAGTAGAAAAGATACCGAGTCTGACGGTGATCAGGAGTTAGCATGCACAGCACGAGTGCCTTGAACTGGTGTTTACATTGCACAGACTGAGACGTGGTGGGATGGAGGTTGCAAGGAAAGGTAGCCACGTGTTCTGCAGCATGCATCACACATGCACGAGTGACGTATGTCGCTATGTAGCATAGGTCAAGGTTGCTAACAACGTGGGTTATGGCCGCGTGCAAAATAGAGAGGAAAGGAGGTACAAATCTATAGAGGTGGAAAGGATATATAGCAGTACGTGAGGAAATCAGCAACAGGTGGGGAGGAAGTGCAGGAACAGCAACAAGTGGAGAAGGGGTACAGAGCCAGCAACAGGTGAGAGACTGGTTACAGGATCATCAACAGGTGAGAAAGGGACAGAGCCACGCAAGGGGGGGAGGGTAGTAGGATTACAGGATCAGCAACAGGTGGGAGAGGAACAGAGCCATGCAAGAGGGAGGGGGAGAAGGATTATACGATCAGCAACAGGTGGGAGAGAAACAGAGCCATGCAAGAGGGGGGGACAAAGGAAGATTACAGGATCAGCAACTGGTTGGGAGGGAGAACGAATACATAAAACAGTTGGGGAAGAAGAGTACAGGATCAGCAACAGGGGTCGGAGAGGAGTACAGCATCAGAAACAACAGATGGGGAGAAATGGGGTACAAGATCAACAACATGCGGGGAAAGAGAGGTACAGGATTAGCAACAGGAGATAGGTGCATGGGTCAGATCCAAAACAGGTGGGGAAGAGCTCTGGGATCGACAGGAGGAGAGGATGGTGGAAATTGGATAAGCAACAGGTGGGGCAGGGGGTATTGAATCCTAAACAGGTGGGAATATACGGTCAGCACACACTGGTGTGTGCGACGTGGTGGACCCAGTCATAGCAAAGTACGTAGCCCATGGAGCCGCTGGGAGACAGTCTGCTATGAAGCGAGCTGGAAACAGTAGCCTTCTCCGTAGCCTCTGTTCCAGGCACCAACAAGACTACCCATCCTTGGCCCGAACACGGATACAAGTTACCATGGATCATTTGAACTATAAAAAAAAGAGGGCAATGGAAGTAGATGAAAGAAAAGGAATCCGAAAACAGGAAAAGGTAGAAAGTATACGCTAATGAAGATAAGGTAAAAAATGTTAAAGATGATCAGGGAAAGTAATGGCGGGTTGGAGAGGCAGAAGAAAATATTAGACAAATTCTTAAGAGGAAAGAATCAGAGCATTCCTGAGGGCAGTTTAATATTCTGTGCAATTACGAGTAGAGCGTGAAGGCGAAAAAAAAAATGAGGATAAGGAGAAAAATGAGGAACGAGGACAAAAGCAAAAGTAGAAAGATGAAAAAAGGAGAAAATGAAAAAAAAATATTCAAAGGAGAACATGAAAGAAGGAATAAATTATAGACTTCTACTTCTTTTTGTACCAAAAAGAATTACAATAGCAAAGACGCTTAAATTTATCAAATTAAAATAAAGCCTAGCGAGTTCCAACTAATATTTAACCAACAATAAACCTCTTATCACTGTGACGACCTATAAAAGTGTTCTCCTTTAAAATCCCTTGAAAAAGACGACACTAGAAAATCGGGGAGAAAAAGGAGTATAGTAAAAATATAGCGAAAAAAAAAAACAATGGAAATGAAGGAAGAAAAAAAGATTTGATGGCAAAATAGAGGAAAAAAAAAGGCAGAGGAGGACAAGAAAAGCAGAAAAAAATACGAAAAATAATTTAGTATCTACAATTATAAGGTAGAACAGCCGAAATACATAATCCGAAAAAGAAAAATAACACGGTATTTCCAAACAATGAATATTAAAAATATCTGATCTTTAAAATGGCGTGAGACACTAACAGTTAGGTTCTGAAGTGGAATCAACTTAGCAATAACCAGGGCCGGGGCGCTACCTAATTAATGCATCATCATAAGCTCTCTCATTATATTCTGGCAGGACATAGTTCCATAAAGCTCGTATAATACGGATAATTGCAGACTTGCTCGGCTGGGCCACAGAATACTGGGGCAGGGGGAGGGGGAGGGGGAGGGCAGGAATAATGATTGTGATAATGCAACAGACCTTCAAACTCACTTAAGTGGATGGTGATATTGACCAGACGAAGTACAAGGCACTTGTGTACAGTCATGGAATTTACTTATAATAAACGTATATCTATGGCTGGTTTCTTCCGCCCTCATGATTTTTTTTTTTTATATTTTATTTAGAACAATACAATACAAGAGATAGATAAAGACAATAACAGGTCTTACACAGAATAAATCATTAACAACCACACATACACCTCATGATTAGGTTAAGTACTGGAGAAGCCGTTCGTGGCGAAAACGTTTCCTTTAACGAATGTCCTGAGCCATACGTAAGTGTCTTGCTCTTGACCACACTGCCACTACGCACTGAAGCTGACATTATTCAGAGAGCAGCAGAGGGTCGGGTCTGCTTGTTGTGGGACCGGCCACAACCACCACTTCGAGATTATGTTCCCGGAAAAGTGCTAAACTCTTACGGATCATTCAACTCTATTTACGCGGTAGATAAAGAGCACAAAGGCACAATACCGTGACTGGAACAATACACAAATACCCCGAGAAGAGGAGAAAAGAAACTTTATGTCGACGTTCCGGTCCAACTTGGACCGAAACGTCTGTATTGATCATACAGTATAGTGTCAATGACAGATAAATACAACACTTCGGTAGGTAAAATTAAGCAATAAAGACTACTAGGATGAAAAAAAAATATCAACGCCATCACACCACGGTAAAATAATTAGCACAAATGAAAAATGCCATTAAATTACAAATGTCAAAATATATTTTTTTAAGATTGCCCCTAGGTTCATACCGGCACCTAATTATAAAAAACAAAAACTATGACGAAAGCAAAAAAAAAAAAAATAGAAAAAAAAATACAATTAAAATGTGTTCCACAATCAGCTGCCTGTCACAATCTCCACATAGGGAAGCACCTGCATGTAGGTAAGCATGGGTGAAACATGCCCGATCCTCACTCCACGAAGTCGTCTCGAAGTGACGATTTCTGTTGGAAGAAGAGGACCAGACACCTACGTACGTCCTACCGAAGCCGGTATAGTTTACTTCATGGTGATAAATTAGACACATGTGCAACTCTTGGGTATCTTTATTGAGGAAGTTGAGATCCCAAGAAGTTGCAGTGTCTGACACTGCAACTTCTTGGGATCTTAATGCTTAGGAATTCTTCGCTTGCCTAATTCTTGGGCACAACCTACTTCCACATTGAACAAATGTGACACGACCTATGACTGCTGCACCTCTCCTGCCATACGGTTTATAAGCTGCTTCTCCGCTGATATGCCGTATTCTATTCAAGATTGATGGACTGAACACATCGACTCAAGGTTGAGGGACTGATTACCTCATTCTCCTCCTGTTCTTCAAGTTTCTCCTATGTATGGACTGATGAAGCCACTGTGTGGCGAAACGTTTCCTCAATAAAGATACCCAAGAGTTGCACATGTGTCTAATTTATCAACATGTCGGTTCTCTGAACCATTCATCTACAAAGTTTACTTCATGTCTGTAGGGCCCACAGGGCCCGACACCTTCCAAAAAACTCAACTGGTGAATAGATAGATGGTTTTTCCCACGACTCATGGTAATCTCTTTTGTACACAAGCAGACTCTAAGCCTGGAACATTCGCATATGGAGAGACGAGAGAGGACTGAATAATTTGTATGGAGCGACGCAGACTAATAGAGGTGTTCCATAGTAGAAGATTGAGACACTTATGCAGCATATGGGAATCTTTATTCAGGAAACGTTTCGCCACACAGTGGCTTCATCAGTCCAATACAAAGAGGAAGGCGTAAGGAGAGGAGGAGAATGAGGTAATCAGTCCCTCAACCTGGAGTCGATGTGTTCAGTCCATCAATCTTGTAGAATGTACAGCATAGGGCCGTAGACGTGGCTTATATACTGTAGTGAGGTGAGGTGAAGCAGCAAGAAGGACAAGGCTTAAAGAGGGAAGAAGCTCTCCTGAACTCCTCGTTGTAAACACACGCAAAGACTGGCTCATTTATGTAAAAGAAAGTTTGATAAACTCTATGTGAAGCTGAATGCAAACGAAACACATTTTTTGCCTAAGGAATACTAATCTATATATATGTCTCCTTCTGACACTGCAATCTGCTGTAATCTGAGGTGACTAGAAGCACTAGGCAAAAATCACTAAATCACAATTTGCTGAAGGCTTTCCCAACTCTTGTCTAATACTGCTGATCTCAACATGTTTATATAAAAAACAAGTGCGCACAAAACGCACGCGCGCACACACACACACACACACACACAGGCACACACACACACACACACACACACACACACACACACACACACACACACGCACACACACACACAAAGTATAGGCTAGGTGGCCGAAGACTGCAAACCTCACTCAAGGAAAAGGATCTTGGGGTGAGTATAATACCGAGCACATCTCCTGAGGCGCACCTCAACCAGATAACTGCTGCAGCATATGGGCGCCTGGCAAACCTGCGAAGTGTGTTTTCCGATACCTCAGTAAGGAATCGTTCAAGACTCTGTACACTGTGTAAATCAGTCCCATACTGGAGAATGCAGCACAGGTTTGGAACTCACACTGGTCAAGCACGTCAAGAAATTAGAGAAAGTGCAAAGGATTGCAACAAGACTAGTTCCAAAGCTAATGGCAATGTCCTACGAAGAAAGGTTAAGGGAAATCGGCCTGACGACACTGGAGTAAAGGAGGGTTAGGGGAGACATGATACCGACATACAAAATACTGCAAGGCAGGTCCTTCACAATCCATCACACTAATAGGATATTTACCCAACCCAATTTCCAATGCTACCAAAGAAATAAGCTCTGGTAGTTCTATTCACTCGAGTGCAAGTCCCACTCAAATCTAACCCTTCTCAGTCATGTATTTATCCAACCTAAATTTGAAACTACTCAAGGTTCTAGCTTCAATAACCCTGCTAGGCAGACTGTTTCACTCATCATCTACCCTATTCCCAAACCAATACTTTTCTATATCCTTCCTAAATCTAAACTTATCTAATTTGAATCCATTATTGCGGGTTATCTCTTGGAGAGATATCCTCAAGACCTTATTTATATCCCCTTTGTTAATACCTACCGTCCACTTAAGAACATAAGAACATAAAGAAGGAACACTGCAACAGGTCAACTGGCCTATGCGAGGCAGCTCCACTTCTCGTACCGGCTTAAGCCAATGCCTTGACCTGATGAGGTCAGACACGTCATTTAAGGGAGGAGCAGTGTTAAGAAGAATTTCTTTAGTGAGAGTTTTCAGGAAGTGGAATAGTCTGGCAAGTGACGTAGTGGAGGCAGGACTCATACATAGTTTTAAGACGAGGGATGATAAAGCTCATGGAACAGGGAGAAAGAACCTAGTAGCGATCAGTGAAGAGGCGGGGTCAGGAACTATGTCTCGACCACTGCAACCACAAATAGGTGAACACACACACACACACACACACACACACACACACACACACACACACACACACACACACACACACACCACTCACCTTCCTCAGCATATCCTCAGTTTTGGCTAGGATGGTGTCAAAGCTCTCGCGGTGGGTGAAGATCTTGCGCGACTGTATCTTCCTGTAGAAGGTCTTCTCAATTAGCGGTCGAGACACCTGCCTATTGAGAGTCCCCGCTACGTCGGAGTGGATCTGTGAGTCAACTTCAACCTCCTGCAGAAGAGTTTCCCACGCCTGGAACATTTGGTTTGGGCACGGCGGCCTGAGGAAGAAGAATGTCTTGAGTTACGACACTGTCGAGTTATAGAGTAACTGTCATGGCACTGTACTGGTGGTTGTGAACTGGTGGTTGTGTTTTGGTGGTTGTGTGCTGGTGGTTGTGTACTGGTTGTGTACTGGTGGTTGTGTATTGGTTGTGTACTGGTGGTTGTGTACTGGTGGTGGTTGTGTGGTCGTGTTTTTCGGGGGGGGGGGGTTTTGTATTTTTTTGGGGTGGGCCCCTTTTTCTTTTTTCGGGTTTTTTTTGGGGTTTTGGTTTGGTTTTTTGGGGGTGGGGGCGGTTTTTTCTTTTTTCTTTTTTCTTTTTTTCTTTTTTTTGGGGGTTTTTTGGGTGTTTTGCGGGGGTTTTTGTGTATTTTTTTGGTTTTTTTGTTTTGGGTAAATGGTTTTGGGGTTTTCCTGGTTTTTTGGGGTGGTGTCTGTTGGTTTTGGGTTTTTTGGGGTTTGTGTCGTTGCTTTTGGTGAGTTTTTAATTTTTTTTGGGGTTTTTGGCTGGGTTTTAGTTTTTTTGGGGTTTGGGTTGTGGGGCCCTTGGGTTTGGGGAGGGGAAAGTCGTATTTGGCTAGCGGGGTTTCTAGTTGTTGTGAGCGGGTTTGGGCTTTTTCCCTTTAATAGTGAACATTTGGCTTACGGTTTCTTTTCAGATTTCCTGCCGGTGTTTGGTAGTGATGTATCACTGAGTAAGTTGTAAGATCTTCGTCTGTGCTGGATGTTACTTAATGGTTGAATGTGCGGTTGTGTTCTGTGTAGGCGCTGGACTGTGATCTGTAAGTCCCGCTACCGGAGGAGTCTTGAGTTTCACTGAAAGTTCAAAGCTGATCTATTTGACTGGTGTTGGACGGTGGTTCTCATGTGGAAGATGATGCTGCGCTGGAGTGTAAGACTGTGGTTGTGACTGACTGCCGTTTAGATAAGAACTGAAGGTGTTGACTACTGCGATGTGTCGACTAGTCGGGTATGTGTACTGTGTGTTGCAATGTACCTGGTTTGAGTCATGCCTGGATTTGATGGTGGTTGGCGTGGTTAGAATGTGGTGCTTTGTGATGAGTGGTATGATGCTGAGTGGTTAATGTCTGGTGTTGTGTCTGCTAGGTTGTGTTTTATGGTGTGGTGGACTGAGTGGTTGTATGTCATGGATGGTTGTTGCTGGTGGTTAGTGCTGGTGGTTGTGTGACTGGTGGTTGTTGTGACTGGTGGTTGTGTGCTGGTGGTTGTGTACCTGGTGGTTTGTACAGGTGGTTGTGTGCTGGTGTTTGTGTGGTGTTGGTGCTGTGGTTGTGTCTGGTGGTTGTGTAGCGTGGTTGTGTGTGTATCTGTTTGTTGATGGTGGTTGTGTAGCTGGTGGTCTGTAGTACCGGTGGTTGTGTGCTGGGTTTGGTTGTGTACTGGTGGATGTGTGCGGTGGTTGTTGCTGGTGGTTGTGTACGGTGTTGTGTACTGGTGGTTGTGTACTGGTGGTTGTGCTGGTGGTTGTGTACGGTGGTTTGGTGCTGGTGGTTGTGTACTGGTGGTTGTGTACTGGGTTGTGTACTGGTGGTTGTGTACGTGACTGGTGGTTGTACGTGTGTTTTGCGGTGGTTGTGTACTGGTGGTTGTGTCTGGTGGTTGTGTCTGGTGGTTGTGTACTAGGTTTGTGTACTGGTGTTTGTGTACGGTGGTTGTGTGCTGGTGGTTGTGTACGGGTTGTGTGCTGGTGGTTGTGTGCTGGTGGTTGTGTACTGGTGGTTGTGTACTGGTGGTGTTGTGCTGGTTTGTGGTTGGTGGTCTGGTGGTTGTGTACTGGTGGTTGTGTCTGGTGGTTGTGTATGTGGTGTGTCTGGTGTTGTGTCTGGTGTTTGTGTCTGGTGGTTGTGTACTGGTGGTTGTGTCTGTGGTTGTGTACTGGTGGTTGTGTGCTGGTGGCTTGTGTACTAGGTGGTTGTGTATCAGTTGTTGTACTGATGTGTGTCATGGATGTGTACTGGTGGTTGTGTGCTGTGGTTGTTGTGTGGTGGTTGTTCTGGTGTTGTGTACTGGTGGTTGTGTACTGGTGGTTGTGTGCTGGTGGTTGTGTACTGTTTGTGGTTGTGTACTGGTGGTTGCGTGGTTGGTCGTGGTTGTGTCTGGTGGTTGTGTCTGGTGGCTTGTGTACTGGTGGTTGTGTACGGTTGGTTGTGTACTGGTGGTTGTGTGCTGGTGGTTGTGTCTGGTGGTTGTGTGCTGGTGGTTGTGTACTGGTGGTTGTGTACTGGTGGTTGTGTGCTGGGTGGTGTGGTGTGCCTGGAGGTTGTTTGCGGTGGTTGGCTTGGTGTTGCTGGTGGTTGTGTAGCTGGTGTGCTGTTGTGTCTGGTGGTGTGTGCTGGGGTTGTGTGCTGGTGGTTGTGTACTGGTAGTTGTGTCTGGTGGTTGTGTGCTGGTGGTTGTGTGTGGTGGTTTGACTGTGGTTGTGTGTGGTGTGTACGGTGGTTGTGTGCTGGTGGTTGTGTACGGTGGTTGTGTGCTGGTGGTTGTTGATGGTGGTTGTGTACGGTGGTTGTGTACTGGTGGTTGTGTACCGGTGGTTGTGTGCTGGTGGTTGTGTACTGGTGGTTGTGTACTGGTGGTTGTGTTGCTGGTGGTTGTGTGCTGGTGGTTGTGTACTGGTGGTTGTGTGCTGGTAGGTTGTGTGTGGTGGTTGTGTCTGGTGGTTGTGTAGCTGGTGGTTGTGTGCTGGTTGTGTACTGGTGGTTGTGTGCTGGTGGTTGTGTCTGGTGGTTGTGTGGCTGGTGGTTGTGTACTGGTGGTTGTTTACGGTGGTGTGTGCTGTGGTTGTGTACTGGTGGTTGTGTGCTGGTGGTTGTGTCCGGTGGTTTGTGCTGGTGGTTGTGTACTGGTGGTTGTGTACTGTGGTTGTGTACTGGTTGTGTACCGGTGGTTGTGTGCTGGTTGTGTCTGGTGGTTGTGTGCTGGTGGTGTGCTACTGGTGGTTGTGTGCTGGTGGTTGTGTATGGTGGTTGTGTACTGGTGGTTGTGTGCTGGTGGTTGTGTACTGGTGGTTGTGTGCTGGTGGTTGTTGTAGTGGTTATGTCTGGTGGTTGTGTGCTGGTGGTTGTGTGCTGGTGGTTGTGTGCTGGTGGTTGTGTGCTGGTGGATTGTGTTGGTGGTTGTGTGCTGGTGGTTGTGTGCTGGTGGTTGTGTGCTGGTGGTTGTGTGCTGGTGGTTGTGTGCTGGTGGTTGTGTACTGGTGGTTGTGTGCTGGTGGTTGTGTGACTGGTGGTTGTGTGCTGTGTGGTTGTGTGCTGGTGGTTGTGTACTGGTGGTTGTGTGCTGGTGGTTGTGTGCTGGTGGTTGTGTGCTGGATGGTTGTGTACTGGTGGTTGTGTGCTTGGTGGTTGTGTACTGGTGGTGTGTGTGGTGGTTGTGTGCTGGTGGTTGTGTGCTGGTGGTTGTGTACTGGTGGTTGTGTGCTGGTGGTTGTGCACTGGTGGTTGTGTGCTGGTGGTTGTGTACTGGTGGTTGTGTACCGGTGTTGTGTGCTGGTGGTTGTGTGCTGGTGGTTGTTGTGTGTGTGTGTTGTGTGCTGGTTGTGTACGGTGGTTGTGTGCTGTGGTTGTGTACCGGTGGTTGTGTGTGGTGGTGTGTACTGGTGGTTGTGTACCGGTGGTTGTGTACTGGTGGTTGGTACCGGTGGTTGTGTGCTGGTGTTGTGTACTGGTGGTTGTGTACTGGTGGTTGTGTACCGGTGGTTGTGTGCTGTGGTTGTGTACTGGTGTTGTGCTGTGTTGTGGCTGGTGGTTGTGTGCTGGTTGTGTACCGTTGTGTGCTGGTTTGTGTAACTGGTGGTTGTGTGCTGGTGGTTGTGCACTGGTGGTTGTGTGCTGGTGGTTGTGTACTGGTGGTTGTATACCGGTGGTTGTGTGCTGGTGGTTGTGTACTGATGGTTGTGTGCTGGTGGTTGTGTACCGGTGGTTATGTGCTGGTGGTTGTGTACTGGTGGTTGTGTATGTGGTTGTGTGCTGGTTGTGTACTGGTGGTTGTGTGCTGGTTGTGTACTGGTGGTTGTGTGCTGGTGGTTGTGCACTGGTGGTTGTGTGCTGGTGGTTGTGTTTGGTGTTGTGTACCGGTGGTTATGTGCTGGTGGTTGTGTACTGTGGTTGTGTGCTGGTGGTTGTGTACCGGTGGTTATGTGCTGGTGGTGTGTTGCTGGTGGTTGTGTGCTGGTGGTTGTGTGCTGGTGGTTGTGTGCTGGTGATTGTGTGCTGGTGGTTGTGTGCTGGTGGTTGTGTGCTGGTGGTTGTGTGCTGGTGGTTGTGTGCTGGTGGTTGTGTGCTGGTGGTTGTGTACTGGTGGTTGTGTGCTGGTGGTTGTGTACTGGTGGTTGTGTGCTTGTGGTTGTGTGCTGGTGGTTTGTGTGGTGGTTGTGTGCTGGTGGTTGTGTGGTGGTTGTGTGCTGATTGTGTGCTGGTGGTTGTGTGCTGGTGGCTGTGTGCTGGTTGTGTACTGGTGGTTGTGTGCTGGTGGTTGTGTGCTGGTGGTTGTGTACTGGTGGTTTTGTACTGGTGGTTTTGTACTGGTGGTTGTGTACTGGTGGTTGTGTGCTGGTGGTTGTGTGCTGGTGGTTGTGTGCTGGTGGTTCTGTGCTGGTGGTTGTGTGCTGGTGGTTGTGTGCTGGTGGTTGTGTGCTGGTGGTTGTGTGCTGATTGTGTACTGGTGGTTGTGTGCTTGTGGCTGTGTGCTGGTTGTGTACTGGTGGTTGTGTGCTGGTTGTTGTGTGCTGGTGGTTGTGTGCTGGTTGTTGTACTGGTGGTTGTGTGCGGTGGTTGTGTGCTGGTGGTTGTGTATGGTGGTTGTGTTCTGGTTGTGTACTGGTGGTTGTGTACTGGTGGTTGTGTGCTGGTGGTTGTGTGCTGGTGGTTGTGTACTGGTGGTTGTGTGCTGGTGGTTGTGTGCTGGTGGTTGTGTACTGGTGGTTGTGTACTGGTGGTTGTGTACTGGTGGTTGTGTGCTGGTGGTTGTGTTGCTGGT